TGGGCATTATAATTGAGTTTATGACTGTAGTTAACCAAATAGACTGTCATTAAGATAGAGATCATACAATATGTTGAGAGGCATGGCATACACCCAGTCATTAGCTGCAAGAATTGCTTCCCTTGGGGAATTTAGAAAAGGGTTTGCTGTAACGTGCACCTTGCTACATCAGTCTGTGATGAGCATCTGCATTTAGAATGCAAGCTTATCTTCCTATCAGGAAGTCACTGTGGATGAGGTTATATAATTGCAGTGCCTGTTACCTCTGTGCTTCTGTTGAGGATTTGCTTTGTGTTTATACTCTGGTTTTAAAAGGTGCTGAGGGGGCTTGCTTTTTCGAGGTATGTGACTAATTTTAAGTCGGCCAACCGGCTGCTTTTGCAAACCCCATTTGTTAAGGCTGTACTTGTGGAAACAGACATATGGTGCAGTAGCTTTCAAACTGCATTCCAAGGAGCTGTGGGGAATCCCTGATAAGCTTCCAGTGTACCCTAATTGGAAGAGCAATAAATGGCACATCAGCTTCCCTGAAAGATGGCCTGTTTTTCATTACTGATCTTCCCCTTCAAAGTGATTGGATATGTTCTACAGTGTTCTACAGTGTGCAGTAAATACGTACACTAGGTTCATGTATTGTGACTGATGAGGCAGTACTCACTATTTATATCCTGCTTGTCTCACTAGTCAGGGACCCAAAGTAGCTTTTCACATTGTTTACCCTCTCCTCCACTTAATCCTCCCAGTAACTACCTTGTGAAGGTAGTTTAGGTTTAGAGATTGTGGTCACCTGGCAGGTTTCCATGGCTGAGCAAAGGTACATAAATCCTACAGTGTAGAACAGGGGTGTCAAACTCATTTGTTATGAGGCCTGGATCTAACATAAATGAGACCTTGTTGGGCCGGGCCATGTGTGTCATAAAATGTAATGCCAGGTAGGGGAGATATCAACTTTATAAAGGACACAAACACAAAGGGTTTTTTTAAAAAAAAAAAAACCTTAGAAACATGCTTAAAACATCAGCACTCTTGAAATATTTTGGCCCCGGTCACACGGAGCATTAGCCACGCTAGAGGGACGGAAGATAGGCGGATTTTCCGGGCGCGATCACACCACCACATCTGGGAAGCGTAGAGCTCCCGTGGCTCACCCGAGGCTTCCTGCCGAAAATGCGGTTTAAAAAACTAGTTCCTCCGAGGTACTAGTTTCCGGAAACCGCGGGGCAAGGGCGGGCATCTGATCGCGTTCCCGGTGGTAGTTCCGATGCCCGCCCATGTCCCCTAGCAAAACGGGTTTTTTTCCAAGTCTCCACAGATGCACACAAGCACCCAACGGAGCATGCACACACTTTAGTTTTAAAAAAACACAACTTAGCAGCTCGCTAAGACTTGAGTCCTGCAGAGAAGAGGAGAGCAGCCAGAAGAAATGCAACACAGAGCATATGACACAGACTGAGGGCTATGTGTTTGTCTACAAAACTATAGTCTTCCTCAGTGGTCAGCCTACTATCTGGGAAGTCTAAGTTCAAAAGAAATATGCTGGTTGAACTTGGTCTGGACCAGTGTTCCCTCTAAGCTGAGTTAGTGTGAGCTAGCTCACAGTTTTTTAGCCTTCGGCTCACACATTTTTGTCTTCGCTCAGTAAGGATGGCTTTAGAGCAAGCTAATTGATGCAGCAACCAAGTTGCTGGCTCACATCTTTTAATGCCAGTAGCTCACAAAATCAATTTTTTGCTCACAAGACTCCACAGCTTAGAGGGAACATTGCCCAGAGCAAACTAATTTATGCAGAAGCCAAATCACTGACTCACAACTTTAATGCCAGTAGCTCACAAAGTAGAATTTTTGCTCATAAGACACACTCTCAGCCTAATCCACCTCACTCATGTGGATAAATGTATCAAAAACTAGACAGACTTTGGTGTAATTACAATAGGAAAAATAGGGCACACCAAAGAAAATTACTCTTCTATATCTTTAACACACTTAGTTGTATTATTATAACAAATTTCCTTATAACAAATTTCCTGTATTGACTAGCATTCATTCATTATACATGAAGCACATTTCATGAACATAAGCAAAACTTTGGGAAGACATTAGAGAGAGGTTGCGTTGATCCACATTATTGCAATTCCTGCTTGTGCTCCGTCAGGACGTCTCAAAGGCAGGGCTCTTTTTGTAGAAAAAGGGCCAAAACAACGTCAAGAATAACTACATCAAGATTTTGTATTGTTTTGCATTGTTCTCCTATCATCGTTTACTGACTTTGCTTATGTTCATGAAATGTGCTTCATATATAATGAATGAATGCTAGTTAACACAGGAAATTTGTTATAAGGAAATTTGTTATAACAATACAACTTAAGTGTGTTAAAGATATAGAAGAGTAATTTTCTTTGGTGTGCCCTATTTTTCCTATTGTAATCCACCTCACTGGCTTGTTTATCCCTCATCTAAATAGTTCACATTGCTTTCCTATTGAGAAAGACTGGATCATGAGGGCAGGAATACAGTGAGAAGGTGGAGGGAACCCAGTTGCACCCGGGAGAGCCACAGCATAACAAGCCCAATAAAACACACACACTGTAGCAAGGCACACAAAAGCTCATATCTTGGATGAAACTTTGTTGGTCTTAAAGGTGCTTTGTATTTCTCCCACGTGATTGAGGAAGCCAATCCAAGCAAGCTCTCCCTCCGGGGAGGAGCCTCAGCCAATGAAGGAGAAGAAAGGCTTGCCTTTGTTTCCTATGTGATTGAGGCAGCGTGGCCAGGAAGCAAGTTCTGGTTGGTTCCCTCTCTCCCCCGGGGAGGAGGAGAAGCCTCAGGTAGTGCAGGGAACAGAAGCGTGCCAATCTATCCTGAGTGATTGAGAGAGTCCGGCAAAGCAAGCTACAACACAGCAGCAGCAGAACTGGAAGAAGAAGTAGGAGGCAGCCAGTTCCACTGCGGGCCTGATAGAAGTCCTTTGCACATATGAGAAAAAGAAAAGAAATAGTGCCTCATTTCCTGACATTGTGGGAAGGGAGGAAAGGAAGATGGAAGGAAAAGGGGAAAGGAGGAAGTTAGCTTAGGTAGAGATTGTCACTGTCCTCAGCCATGGGCCTGGCAGAACATCTCCATTTTACAGGCCCTGCAGAACTGCATCAAGGTCCGGAGCTTGCTTGACAGAGAACAGACTTCCTCTAAGATGTCTAGGGGGTGCTAGCACACAAAATTTTAGTTCCAGCTCAGGGATTTTAACCCCTCCATTGGGCACCTCCTTCTGGGGCCCAAAGAATTGGCCCCCCAGTCCAATCTTTTTGAAACTTGGGAGGTTTTTTTGAGGAGGGGTACCAGCAGCTATGCAAATTTGGTGCCTCTACATCAAAAAACAGCCCCCCAGATATCCCTGGATTGATTCTCCATTATAATAGGCTATGGGGCCCATTGAATACAGTGGTCCCCATAGGCTGTATAGAGCTGGAAAAAATAGATTTTTTTACACACCCGTTATGCTTTTCAGTATGATTTGTATGCTGCCTCAAGTCACAGGCAAAGTGGACTATAAATATTTGAATAAATGCGTAGTTTGGGAGGTTGATAACATTTAAGCAACTTCCTGTTAGGTTAGGCAGGCTGTGATATCTGAATGCAGAAAATCCAACAAATAGGTTCAATGGTTGGTGCCAACATTAGTTTTTAAAGCTGGTTTGTTAACCGCAGTTTGTACTAAGTGTGCACAGGTAACTTCACCAACCAGTCTGAGTAGCACAACCCTTCATGGTAAGCTGGACCCAGACAGTGGTATAGGGAGGCACTGGTTCTGAGAGAACGAATGGAACAGATAAATCGTGATTTGTACATTAACTAGGGTTAGTTACTTCTGACTGGTAGGCCAAGAAGAGCTTGCTGAGCAAACCATAGTGTTGGCAAACTCACTTTATCTTGATGTTTCAATGCAGTCATTATCTTACAAAGTGTGAATATACTCAGAACCAGAAAGATGAGTAAGGTGCTTACACTTTACCTTCACTCCCAACAATGCCTTGGGGAGGGGATTTCATAAAAACAATATTCCTGCTTTTAATACAAATTGTCCACAAGGATGGTGATATCTGAAGGGTACTTTAGCTGTTTCTTAACTTGGAGGCGAGATGGGACATTAGATGAGGCTGTCAGTTGCTAGTAGATAAAACTTGGGTGATTAACTTGGATTTCCTGCTGGCTACTATTTCTGGCTTGTGCATGTATTATCCCCCCCCCCCCATTTCATTTCATTTATTAGCTTCATGTATTAATCAACCATCATACTTTTCCTTCCATTCATTTTCTTCTCTTGTGTTTGCTTCCCTAAGCCTCATTTTTGTGAGCAGAATTCTAGTTGCTCTGTAACTTAAGGCAGTTAAAGAGATCTGGCTGTCCTCGGCCCTGGTTCCAACCTGGTGGAACTCTCTGCCAACTCCAACCAGGGCCCTGTGTGATCTAATGCCATTCTGCAGGGCCTGTAAGGCAGAGATGTTCCGCCAGGTTTTTGGCTGAGGACAGCGACGGTTTCCACCATAGCCGGCACCCTCCTCTTTTCTTCTGTCTGACCCGCTTTGGCCTCCTCCTTAACCTGCCTGCGAGATGGAAGAACAGTCCAGAGTGGGCTTTAGATTAATTATGGACGCCATCTGGAGACTACTAAATTAGGATTGACTGACTCATGATTTTAAGGTCTTAAGGTTGTTTTGAATAACGTTATGATACTGTTTTTAATTTGTTGTAAATCACCCAGAGCCCTGTGTATTCAGGGATTGGACAATCCGGAAATTTAAAATATAAATAAACAAAGGTTTATCTGTGTATGCAGCATATGTGTAGTCTTGGATGTTAAATGATATTTGAATTGTAGAATTTCAGAGACTAGGTGCCTCTTCTTCCATTCTAATCAAGGAAGCATTCTTATTATCAAAATTACATCCTACCAGATTAGCCTGCATGTTCTATCTAAGTTCTGAGGTGTTAATGTTTGGTTTTAGGCACATGAAGCTTCACATCACCAACAGCAAGCAGCACAGAACAGTCTGCTGCCTCTCTTGAGCTCTGCTGTTGAGCCACCCGATCAGAAGCCGATCTTACCTTTACCGATAACTCAGAAACCTCAGCCTGCACCAGAAACGCTAAAAGATGCTATTGTGGGAATTAAAAAGGAGAAACCGAAAACCTCCTTTGTGTGCACGTATTGCAGCAAGGCTTTCAGGGACAGTTATCACTTGAGGCGCCACGAATCCTGCCACACAGGAATAAAGTTAGTGTCACGGCCAAAGAAAGCTCCTGCCACGATGGTACCACTTATCTCTACCATTGCGGGCGACAACAGCCGGACGTCGCTGGTTTCAACCATTGCAGGCATCTTGTCAACAGTCACTACATCTTCCTCCGCTGCAAACCCAAGCAGTAGCGCTGGTGCCACGGCTATGCCGGTGACACAGACAGCGAAGAAGCCCAGCAAGCCTGTCAAAAAGAACCACGCCTGCGAGATGTGTGGCAAGGCCTTCCGTGATGTCTACCACCTCAATAGGCATAAGCTGTCCCACTCGGACGAGAAGCCTTTTGAGTGTCCCATTTGCAATCAGCGTTTCAAAAGAAAGGACCGCATGACCTATCACGTGAGGTCTCATGAGGGTGGCATCACCAAACCCTACACCTGTGGTGTGTGTGGAAAAGGCTTTTCGAGGTACCATGTAGAAAATCCCAGGCGAGCTCAAGTATTGGATTTTCATTCTGCGTTCGAAGGGGGGTTGGGGAGGGGGGAATGGGTATGTGAGGAAAGTGAGAGAAGGGTTATTTGGGGCATGAGGGAATAGCCATTCTGTGTGACTTTGTGTCTGAAGGCAGTTTTTGCTAGCAAGAGGAGGTACTGCCCATAGCCCTAAAGCAAGAGCCATTTACTGTCTACTTGGGTTCTTCTAGAGAGCATGGACAGGCTATAAATATGAAGCTTAAACCTTTAGTTAAGGGGAGGGGGGAAGAATTCGTTTAGCAGTCCTGGGAAAAATACATCCTGTATAGAAATTAAAAAATTGAAATGAATGGCTAATAGGTTCCTTTTGCTGTTAGAGTTTAAACTAACAAACGGGGATTGGGGGAGCAGGAATTGGCAGTTTTTGTGTATAACATCATTACTTATTTGCAAGGTAGAACTTAGTGGGACACAGTAGTGACCCTTCAAGCACACGCCTGAGCTTTGCCGCTTGGGAGTTCTAGTATGTCATTTTGGGGTAGGAAGAGATTTAGATTCATCCTTGAGAAGCATTTTATGTGGTAAAGAAGTCAGAACTGCACTATATGTAACGTTGTGTTTGTTTGTGCCCTCTTGCTTTTGCAGGCCTGATCATTTGAGCTGTCATGTCAAACATGTTCATTCCACGGAGAGGCCCTTCAAATGCCAAGTAAGAGTTTTGGTGACTAATCAAAAAGCTTAACTTTTTTGGAGTGCTCGCTTTTGGGTGGCTCAAGTGGTTAAGACGCTGAACTGCAGGCTGTGCAAAGTCAGTAGTTCAGCAGTTCGAGACCCGTGTGCCGCATGATGGAGTGAGCTCCCATCTCTAGTTCCAGCTCCTGCCAACCTAGCAGTTCGAAAGCAAGAAATTGCAAGTAGATCATTAGGTACCACTTCGGTGGGAAGGTAACAGCGTTCCGTGCGCCTTGGTGTTTAGTCATGCCAGCCACATGACCATGGAAATGTCTTTGGACAGCGCTGGCTCTTCGGCTTTGAGACGGAGATGAGCACCGCAACCCTAGAGTCGGATTCGACTGGCTTTCAAGCAAGGGAACCTTTACCTTTAAGCATAGGGCATCCTTTTATTGGAGCTTGGTGTGGTGAAAAGTCTCAGGACTAGACAGGGTCTCTTTTTGGGCCCTTGGTCTGTAGAAACATTTCCATGTTCTTAGGGTTTCACCTTGTCAACAGCAGACATAGGCCTCATCGTTGTACCTTTCTTGTCTGAGTGTCAGGTATCTAAAGAAAAGAAGAAGAAGAGATTGGATTTATACCCCGCCCTTCACTACCCAAAGGTGTCTCAGAGCGGCTGACAAACTCCTTTCCCTTCCCCTCCCCACAACAGACACCCTGTGAGGTAGGTGGAGCTGAGAGAGCTCTTGACAGAAACTACTCTTTTTCAAGAACAGCTGTGCCAGAGTTATGGCTTGCCCAAGGTCATCCAGCCAGATGCAAGTGTGTGTGGAGAATCAAACCCGGTTCTCCCAGATTAGAGTCTGCGCACTTAACCACTACACCAAACAGGAGAACAGCCAGAAGATTGTTCTAGGAGAGATGGAAACTGCATGGAAGACTGTTCTGCAGCTTCTTGGAGCAACGATCCACAAGCCGTTGGGCTTAGTCAACCAAAAGTTGTGACTGCCCCAACTCTGCTCCTGGCCTAACCTTGAGGAGAAGGAGGGTCTCGTCTCTCACATCATGCTGAGCTGTGGAGGTGCTTGGAGCACCTAGAAATTACAATTAAAAATCATGGAGGATCCCTCCAAGTTTGGGAGAAGAGAGTGATGCCTGCTGTAGGGAGTGAATTTGTGGACTCCTGGTCATTGAGGTAATTGTATTCCACTCCCAATCACTCTGGCTTGTCTTGTAGACCGAGCTGTATTTGATGTTTTGAACAATATGTACATCTCTATGTATGCTTTCATCTGAAGAGATGTGCTTGTTTCAGAAATTAATTTGAAAGCATGAATTATATCTTAATGTAAAAGTGAGATTGCATACACATGAATTATTGAGAAAGAAAACCCACTTTCCTCCAGCTGGAGAAATCTTCCCTACTCAGTTATCTGGAGGAATTCTTATTTGTCTCAGATAACGAGAGGTGTGGATTATTTAGAAGCCTCCCTTATGCCTAAATCTCACAACTGGCTCTCAGCATCATGCCTAGAATGAGTTTGTCATTTGAATTTGTGCCTCCAGCATAAATACATACAACTGCCTGAGAAAGCTGCTAAGAACTTCTTACTTTAGTTAAAATGCTAACTATTGTAAGACTAACTATGGCCTCTTCACTAACTCTTCCTTAGCTGCCATGTATTAAGAGCGTTTACAAGTCCTATAACTTTAATAAAATAAAATCTAATCTTACGGGGGAAGAGTAAAAGAAGCCGATTTAAATCTGCTAGATGGCCCATTTTTCCTTTCAGACTGTTGTGCTATAGATATTGAGAGCCAGTTTGGTGTAGTGGTTAGGAGTGCAGACTCTAATCTGGGAGAATTCCCCACTCCTCCACATGCAGCTGCTGGTGTGACCTTGGGTCAGTCATAGGTTCTTTCAGAGCTGTTCTCTCAAGGACAGTTCCTGGAATAGCTCTCTCAGCTCTACCTACCTGACAGGGTGTCTGTTGTGTGGAGGGGAAGGGAAAGGAAATTGTAAGCCGCTCTGAGACTCCTTCAGGTAGTGAAGGGTGGGGTATAAATCCAATCTCCTCCTCCTCCTCCTCTTATAGATGACATAGGCAGGTCAGTAACTTTTCTGTGGGCTAGTAACTTACCGAGTTATTTGCAAGGCTGAGCATGCAAAAAGAAAAAAGAAAAGCTGAGTGGCTTGAACAGTCCACTCTTTTTCTGTTGAGTTTCATCCATGTGTGACTGAGCTTGTTTCCAGTGGCTCATTATGACTAGTAATGCTTTAGAGTCAAAGGAATGACTGTCAATGTGTTGTGTCCAATTCTTGTCTTGTGTTCAGTCTGTCTGATGTTTAGTTTAACCAAATGTAGCTGAGCAGTGGAAAAAAAATACATTGCCAGGAGTGCTCTGGGAGATCTTTGATGCTACCCGTGCTAGCAATTAGGTGTGCATTTAAAAGGAAAAAAACCTCCACTTTTGTCCCTGGAGCATGATTCAGTTCCATGTCCCATTCTTGAGAGTACCATTCTGCCTTTAGATTGTGGATATGTCAGTTTGGAGAAGATTGGCAGCATAATTAAGTTTAAATTGTTTTTAATATTATGGTCTCCTTCATTGTCACTTTGCATAACCAGTTACAGGTTATTAACTACAAGGATAGACTCACTGAGTAAATCAAAATGAGCGGCAGTGCTGCCTTTGTTGGCATCACTAGAAATGGAGCAACTGTTCTCCTTAACGCTGCCGACATGGGGGCAATCATATTGTACATGTAAACAGTGTCTTAGTTGTGAATGCTTCTGAATAGAAAAGCCAGCATGTATCTTATCGCATGATTCTGATTAGTTTTGAGCTGAATCCCATTAAGTTCCTAATTTGAACTGTCTTGTGCAATTTAGGGAGTTGTTACACGTTCTCTCTTCCTTGTATATTAATCAAACTTTGGACCAAACCTTTTGAGATACTGGAAGAATATGTGTTCTTCATAAAGATCCGTGGGGCCCTTCTGTTCATACTGGGGCCGCAGCCTGGGGGAGAAGTGCAGAAGTGCCCTGCAAGACCTCAAGGGGTCCCCGGAGCTGATACTTGTCACTTCAGGGGGATCGCTTAGGTTGTTTGTATCTTTCCTCAGCAGGGAATATACAAGCTCCAGGGAAAACAGTGTGGTGGGAGGAGTGACATCCCTCAAGGCTCCGGTATGAATCAGTAGTAGAGTAGCCAGGTCCCAACCGTCAGGAGCTTTTGGGCACGGGGAGGGGAAGCATCAGTCGATAGGAAGTCTTCAAAACTCTATGGTAAAACGGTAAGAGTTTCAGGGACTTTCTTGAGCATTGCAACATCACTTCTGAGAACTCACAAGTAACGTTGATTCACACATACACACACACCACGGTCCCCCCCCCCCCTCTATATTGAGTGAGGATGTGGGATACGGAAACCTTGGTGGGAGGACTCCCACCGCAAGCAGGTAAATGGCAACCCTGATCGGTATCATTGGCTTCCACAAGTGTTATTTACCAAGATCTGTTGACAAGTCTTGCATGGTTTTCTTGACTAAAGGTAAAGGTAAAGGTTCCCTTGCTCGAAAGCCAGTCGAATCTGACTCTAGGGTTGCGGTGCTCATCTCCGGTTCAAAGCCGAAGAGCCAGCGCTGTCCGAAGACGTTTCCGTGGTCATGTGGCCGGCATGACTAAACCCCAAGGCGCACGGAACGCTGTTACCTTCCCCCCGAAGTGGTACCTATTTATCTACTTGCAATTTCTTGCTTTCGAACTGCTAGGTTGGCAGGAGCTGGAACTAGAGACAGGAGCTCACCCTGTCTTGCGGCACCCGGGTCTTGAACCACTGAACTACCGACCTTCCACAGCCTGCAGTTCAGCGTCTTAACTAGTTTGACCTTAAAATGAGTGCACTGTCGAGCGGGACAGTCTGCTTGAATTCTTTTCTTACTTCCCATGTAGACATGTACGGCTGCCTTTGCCACCAAAGACAGACTGCGGACACACATGGTGCGCCATGAAGGAAAGGTGTCGTGTAATATCTGTGGTAAACTTCTGAGTGCAGCATATATTACCAGCCACTTAAAGACTCATGGGCAGAGCCAAAGTATCAACTGTAATACCTGCAAACAAGGCATCAACAAAAGTAGGTGGAAAAAGTTAATGCCGTTTCATCCTCTTCTGTCTTCTGGGCTTAGAGTGCGTGTTAAACCTGATCTGTGCCCTTTAAATTGTGGTATTAGGCATTTGGGGGGGGGTGAAGTCATGGTGGAAAACTTTAAAAAACAGACTGCTGTGGAATTTCTGCGTTTGTCTGAAGATTTTCCCATCTTTTTGCCTCTTACAACAAGATATTTGAAAGCTGGCTGGGCTTTCAGTGTGGGATGCAGAGCCTCATCTGAAGCCCTTTGAAGTAGGTGGAAGGGGTCCCATTGATTTCAGCAGGCTTTGAGTTGCTGGTCCAGTGTTCCTGGAATGCCAGAGCTGATGACTAAAGTGCTTTTAAAAAGCGTTAATCCTGCTGCGTTTGGGGGGCATTCAGGATAGATCTGAGTTGTTGTAGCTGAAATGGCCCAGTTGGTGTTCAGTGGTGCAAATACTGAATCAAAGTTCCTCTTCCAGAATGGTTATGGAAGGCTGGAATTTTCAGTGGCGCTAGAAAGAATGATGTGCCCTTGTTCAATTCAGTCACCCTTAGAAAGATTTCTGAAGTGCTTACAAAAAAAATTTCTGTGTTTTTCCATTTAAATGTTTGATGGCATATAGCAGCTACATGTCAGTACAGATGCACTGGAATTACATCTCACGGGTTTGTCATGGGGCGGAATTAGATTGGTTTGTCAGTCTTCAGGATCCAAGCATGAGTGTGTAAGTTAAGAACATAAGAGACGCCAATGTTGGATCAGGCCAAAGGCCCATCCAGTCCAACACTCTGTCACACAGTGGCCAAAAATACCAGGGGCCACCAGGAGGTCCACCAGTGAGGCCAGGACATTAGAAGCCCTCCCACTGTTGACCCCCCCCAAGCACCAAGAAGACAGAGCATCACTTGCCCCAGAGTCCCTATCTATAGCCACTGATGGTTATAAGTTGCCAGTTCCTAGTCAGCTATGGCAAGTAAAGATTGAAGTTGAGATGCCAATCAGAGGAGTCTCAGGCAGGCTAATAACAAACTTCTGTGGGCCTACTTGACAAAATATATATGACCTATTAGATAACTTATAAGCTACCAAATTAAAGGTAAGCTTGAAAGTAAGCTTCCACATCTGCTCAGTTATTGGGGAACAGAAATCTAGTGGACTACAGATGAAGTGAAGAAGTGTCTTCAGAGGCCTTGGAGAGATGCATGTATATAGCCCTGCTTCCTTTCCTATGAACACATGTCCCATGTACTTGCACTAGGTTAGTACAGAGTGTACTTCCTTTGCTTTAGGTTAGAATAGGTTAGGTTAGGATAGGTTAGAATGAAATAGTTATTTTCTCCTAACAACAAGCCAGTGAGGATAGGTTAGAATGAAATAGTTATTTTCCCATGGCTGAGCAAGGTTTTGAATCACCATTTCTTATGTCCAAAACATAAGCCAGTATCTATTAAACGGGCTGTGTCGTTCTACTACCACATAACATTCCTCTGCCAAAGTATCTAGTTTTTCCTGCTTCTTGCCTATGCTGTGCTTCCCCTCACAATTTGTAGGAAAGAAGCCTCCTAGTCTTTGTGATAGAGAGAACCCTTGTGTCTGTTGACTGTGTCATGCAGGGTAACTTCATTTGCTTTCCTCTCAATTACAGAGTTTGGCTTTTTCAAGCAAGAAAATCTACACCTCCCTGCTTGTGAGTAGAAACTCATTCATTGGGTATCTTAATTGTATTAGCCTGGCAATGTTTAGCGCAGGGATTGCTGGCCTGTCATTTAAAAGAGACTAAGCAGCTTGCTTTCAGTTTTTCATCTGAGTGATACTGAAATGAGAGGTTTCCGTTTTCCCATAATTTTTTCCTTGTGACCTCTGCTCATTCACCAACCTCCAGTTGATCTGTTCTGCAGTGCACTGTTCACAGAGCTACATTTGTTGTCCTGTCTTTGTCACAGATGTGACTTGCTGTTGAAGAAACAGCTGTATTGCCTTGACCTTCTGTGTCTCTTCTGCTTTGCTTTCCTCTTTGACAAATCTGCATTATGGAATTTACTGTGTACCTGCAGTAGTGACATGGCCAGAAAGCAGTGTTCCCGAATGCTTGTTTGGACTCTCACGATGTCTCGGGGACAAGTAAGAGCAATTTTGAGTTAAAGAGGTCTGCCGGTTAAAAGACATTCGAAGCAGACCAAATGCTTGAATGTCAGGCCTAACTCTGCAGTGTCCACCTGATCCACAATATGCTGCCTGGTGCTTAATGAGCTGTAACAGTGGGCTCTGTTTGACCTGGAAAAGTGCAGCAGCAGCAGTCCTTGTGGCAGATAGTTCAACTTGCTTCCTTCTCCAGTCCCAGAGCAGCTGTTAGTTTTAAGTGGCCAGATTTGGAGGGGGGCAGTGAAGCTGCTCCCAGCTGTTGCAGTAGCAGGGGAAACAGTGGCAGCGTGGTCTTTTAAACAAGTGATTCAGGCTTTCTCTTTATCTCTGGCATAATTCTGTGGGAGGGTAGCTACTATACCAGCTTTTCAAAGGAAGTCCTGATGAAGACAAGTTGTGTTTCGTAGTTTTCTGTCACACGGTGGGCAGAAGAGAGACGGTGGTCCACAGGCCAATTCCAGTGGACCACTTAGAGTCTGTCAGTTGGTAGGATTTTTATAAAAGAGTGCTGGACTAAGCAGACCTCTTCCCAGCGGAGCACATCTTACATTAAGAGTGCATTCTTAAGCTAGGCCTAAATGATCTTTTTTTGAGGGGAGCAAACCTTGAGTTATATTACTGAGGGTAGGAACTCACATGCTGGAATGTTCCATATATATTAAAAAAACGCGGTGCACAGAAAAAAAAGTGGTATGTTGGAGGAAAGGGGTCTAAGCTAATCCTCCTAACACCCCAGATTTTTTGCATCTGCAAAGGAGGGGGCATTTTTGTGCAGAGGAATGCTTCATCATGGTAGCTCCCACCTTGTCTGAAGTGTCCAGGCAGAGATTGTAGAGCCCATGGCGCTGATTACATCTTGATGAAAAACTAGTAAAACAACTATGCTATATTTCGCACAACATATTCATGAAGGAGACTTCATAAAAGTGTAATATATCTATTACTAGGAATAAGGCCCATTGTGGAAATAAATACGATGGGCGCTAGAAAGAGGCTCTGGGAGAGTGCCAAGGCCGTGTGTACTCAGAATCAATTTGCCATGGCAACCTAAGCAGGGTATAAGGACAGGGGAACGGATCTCTGCCATCTGGAGAGCAGTTGTAATTCTGAGTGATCTCCAGCCCCCACCTGGAGATTGGCAACTGGTTCCCCATTACAGAATGGCTGGTTTGGAGGGCAGAGTCTATGGCATTGTACCTATCTGAGGCCCCACTCCTTCTCAAACCTCACCCTCTCAAGGCTCCATCTCTCAAATCTCCAGGATTTTCCCATCTGGAGTTGGCAACCCTATCTACTTCCCAGCCAAGCATCAACCTACATTGATCAGCTTTCCATTTGCCCCCTCCACCAGCAGCCCCCACTGTGCTCTGAAGCCCTGACTTCTGTCTTACATATCTATGGCAGGAATGGGGTGACTGCTGGCACCTTTTCCCATCATTTTTTGCCTTGTGGTATTTTGCTTTTTGCCTTGTGATCTGTCTTTTTTGTGATGTGGCATGATTGTGTTATTGGGTTCGTTTCTTTTGAAGGGGAAGTGGTGTGTTGTGAGTGAGGACATATTTTACCTCAGAATACAGCAGGTCCTATATGCAACTGACAATGCCAACTGTCTTGCGGAGGGGGGGAGGGAGTTTGAGGTGCGGAATGGAGTGAAGTCCAATCAGCGTCCATATGCAAAGGACCTTGAAACGCTGGCCCAATCAGAGAAGAGTGGCCTAGGCTGCAGTGGGTGGGAGAGAACTCAGGCAACACAGCCACTGGATAGAGACACCTTGTGATTGACACATCACAGAGCCAACTAATTTTGGAGTGCATAGAACGTTGTGGGACCACTACTCAATTATATATAAGGAGAGATATGCAGTTAATATGCCCATACAAGCCTTCATAGGAAAATACAGAGGCCAAAGAGTAAACATACAGAATTATATATAGAAAGTCCAACACTTTTCCCAGGTAATTTTTCAGTGTTTTAGACCTCTGGTCCTTCCTCAGGAACAAAGAACCACTGCTGGGAATCCCTTTCTCCTTCAGTGGGGGGAAGTCATCCAGGAACTGGTTAGGTCACGCCTCTGCTCGCTCGATAGGCTATGCAAATTTCTTTTGTTGCGTGGCTCCTATTGGAGTGGCCTAGGCTGACCTCTCCAGTTTCTGCATAGCCCTGTGCTCGGTAGGACTACTGGAGCTCCTGCTCGAAGCCAGATGAACGAATTAAAAACTTACAATTTAATTTAAAACTCACAAGAGTTAAAAGTAGATAGCAGTAGAGCGGGAGGTCTACGCCTGAAGACCTACCCTTCCCTCCCAGGCTCCAAGGAAGCTGGAGAACTCTGAAGATTCCAGACGTGAGGAGGAAGACTCGGGCCCTACCTCCCGAGGTTCCGGGAAGAGAGGGAATGGCCACAACGGAGACCTCCGTACAGGCCCATTGCCCCCGAGGTTCCGGGAGGCGGGTAACAGACAGATCAGTGGCTGGGAGTTGCGTTGCTGCTCAGAAAGGAGGCTCCACCAGCGCGGGGGCGGCTGAACGCACTGAGCCAGCCAGTTCCCGCGCCCCCCCCAACGCACATGGCCCGAGATGGCAGTGCGGAGGTTGCGGCCAGCGCCAGGAACCCCAAGTGGTCAAAACCATTTGGCTCCCACTCCCCCCACCTGCGCCAAGAAGACAGCAGTAGCAGGAGGGGTGGGCAGCAGCCGCAGAACGATGAATCGACGTGGGAAGCCGAAGGGGCCGGCGAGCCCTGTGGTGAGCTTATTGCAATGGGGGGGCGGCCCGGGGGGGCAGCTTGGCAGATGCAGCCGGCCAGCTCCAAGGATATGGAGGAGGCATTGGGGTAGTAGGCCCAATCCGACCATGACAGAGGTTCCCATGGGCCTCCAGCCCCTTAATCCTCCAGCCCCTTAATCCTCCAGCCCCTTAACCCTGAGGTGTCGGGGGTCGGGCAACAACGGTCGGAAAAGGGAAGCTCCAATAGTGGAGGGCCGGCCGAACACAATGAGCCGATCGGTCCCTCCTCTCGGAGGGGAGAAAAATGGCCACATCGGAGGTCCCCTGGGAGCTTCAGCCCCTTATCCCCGAGGTAGCAGGGGTCGGGCAACACCGGTCAAAGCTCCACCAGTGCAGGGCCGGCCGAACGCACAGAGCCGGTCGGTCCCCGCTCTCTCCCCCACCCACCCCACAAGTGGTCCTGCCTGACCGGGACCGACCCAAGTACAGCGGCTCTTGGAGAGCCATGGGTCCACCGGGGGTGTGGACACCGGCAGGCATCCTGCACCTGTACAGACACAGCCTTACCAGCCCCATCCACTACAGCCTGTTCACCAGCCAGTGCAGGGCACAGATAACCCGGCCAGCGAGGGACCCAGCGGCACAGCACAGCCAGGCCAGTGGGTTGAGACACAGATATCCCGGCCAGCGAGGGACCCAGCGGCACAGCACAGCCAGGCCAGTGGGTTGAGTGCATGGAGCAGGCAAGCTTGTGCCCCCCAGGCCACGAATGGTCGGAACTGCCCCTTCCACCAACCGAGGCTTCGGACGGGGGGAAAATGGCTGTAATGGAGGTCCTCGTGGAGCCTCTGTCCCTTACCCCAGCGGAGTTTGGGGGGTCGGGAAATAATGGTCGGAAGGGGGAAGCTACACCAGCGCAGGGGCTGGCTGAACGCAAGGAACCAGTCAATCCCTGTTCCCCACCCCCTAAGTAGTCCAAGAGGTCGGCATAAAGGCTTGGGATCGAAGAGGGGCTCCACAATCCTAGAATCGTGGCCATCCGGCTTCCAAGCAAGGAAACCATTATCACACTGCCAAGCAAGGAAATCATTGTCACACTGTCAAGGGGTACCTTAACTACAGAGTGGTCACACTGTCAAGGAGTACCTTAACTACAGAGTGGTCACACTGTCAAGGGGTACCTTAACTACAGAGTGGTCCTCAGGCTTCCGTTCAGCTGAGTCGGCGTGAGCCAACTCACCGTTTTTTCAGCCTCCGGCTCACACTTTTTTCTCTCCGCTCAGGAAGGAGGGCTCCGGAGCGGGCTGATTTAAGCTGTGACCAAATCACTCTCTCAGCCTTACGCCTGGAGCTCAAAAGTAGAAATTTTGCTTACAAGCCTCCACAGCTTGACATGCAGTGGCCAAATCGCTCCCTCACAGCCTTATGCCAGTAGCTCAAAAGTAGAAATATTGCTCACAAGCCTCCACAGCTTGGAGGGAACATTGATGTTAGGAGACGAAGGTGAAGAGGGCGATAACGTCACCTTCCTGCCACAGGTGGAGTCACCACAGGCAGGCGATTCCATTCATGGGTTTCTCACTTCGGGTAGAGGAAGAGAAGGGAGACTCTTCAAGCACGGTGTGAGACCCAGTGCCTAACAGGCCTCATCCCTCAGGATCCCATAGGGCAGCCACAACCGAAAACAAAAGTGGCAGCTGGCTCTGGCCCCTCGCAAGGCCCGGGAGCGTACTCCACAAGACACCAGTGGGCTTTTGTCAGCCCCAAGACTAAAGACAAGACGACCTTACTGCAAAAACAAGTCGGCACCGGAAGGGCATAGGTGCCATAGAGAAGGTCCCCAAGGAACAGCACTTCAGAAGAGGGAGCGCAGTTATCTTCATCATTCTAAAGCAGCCAGGGGACTGGACAGCCCTACTGAACTTGCGAGGTTGCAGAATGAATGAATGAATCAATCAATAAATAAATAAATAAATAGAATAAAGACAGGAAAGAAAGGCAAGGGGAACTGCCTGGCCTCCCTGGACTCATGAAGGCTTATTTGCATATCTTGGGGAACCCAGACTCCAGCATTTACAGTACAAGGCTTCCCTTTGGCCCCTCCTCAGCACCCAGAGGCTTTACCAAGATCGGGGATACTCCGTTAGCAGCGTCACGTACACGTGCAGGCCCCTCATCAACAGAGCCTTTCAGCCCTACACAGGATCTTGCGCTTCCGAGGGGGACAGTCTGAACAAACAGCAGGCCGCCGTCTCTCTGCTAGAGGAAATACAGCTAACCCCATATGGGAGGGTGTGCGGAGAGTCAGGTCCAAGACAACGGCGGTCCAGAGGCGCCTGTCAGTCCTGCAGGATCTCTAAAATCAATCGTAGTCATGATCCTGGAGACAGGACGCATGACGGAGTTTGAATGGTGGGCAAGACCATCTAACTTGGGACCTAAACCATCAGCTTCCTCCATCTCTCAGCAAGGTGACCCACAACATCGACTATCCTTGCAACAACAACAACAACAAAAAGAACTGGCTGAGCAGTAGGGACCTGAATCAAGGAGAAGGAGTCTGGAGCCAGGAAGTCTGTACCCAGATCACATAAGTGTTCAGGACACTGGTGCGGAACCTATTAGTGAACCTAATGAACCGTCACGTCGAGAGGTCCCTATCCGGATGCCAGGACCCATTAGCGGGTCCAGAAGCCTACCGGTATGCCTTCCTTCCCACAGCTCCGTTAAGAAGGAAGTTCAACAAGATCACAAGGGACAGGGCAGAAGTGGCATTTGCAACCACCCACCAGCCAAGAGGGCCATGGGTTATTGGAGCCGGTACTCCAGAAAACTACCTCGGAGAACAGATCGGCCACACCTAAGGCCCATCCTGCACCTAGAACCAACTTGGATACAGTTGGCCACACAAAAATTGACCACATACGATCACAGGTGCTCAGTTTTTCTAAGAACCTAGGGTCACCAGGTCCCATGCCAGGGGGCCATCAATAAGGGCGCCCCTCCAGTCACCTATGGAGGATATGTCAAAACGGGACTCCGCCAACGGAGTACAACCTTTTGGCACCACCCATCAGACACAGGTTCCCGACGTGGAGACAAAGGCCCCTGACATGAAACCTCCTCCAATGTGCTGCGCTCATTGAGTAAGCTGATCGCATTACCTTCCTTCTGCTCCAATCCGGAGCACCCTACAGTACAAACCTGGCACAACAGGGCGTACGGAGGAGCTCTCTCTATATATCTCCCTTTCGCAGGTCAGACCCGCTGTTTGTATGACGAAGAGGGCCCCGTAGACCATAGTGGTCTACTGGATTGGACAGGTATGGCCAAAGCCTATGAAGGGACTAGGATGGGCACCACCAGGTCAGGTGGCTGCACACTCCACAGGAACATTATCCAAGCAAGCAACAGCGGATGGATTCTGCAGAGCAGGTACCTGGTCCTCCTTGTCCACATGGTGAGGCAATACAGGAGGGGTCAGGCAGTGTCGATGTAGCCTTCGGCATACCAGTATTACAACAAGTTTGAGAGAGATAACTCACCCACCCTAGAAGGAGCAGCTTGGGTACTGCTAACCAGTTCCTGGATGACTTCCCCCCACTGAAGGAGAACTGTACATTGGACCTACCTGAAGGTTCTTTCTCTTCAGTGGGGGAGAAGTCATCCACATCCCACCCAAATTGGATACCAGAAATAGACCAGGGTGGCAATAATATGGCCTGCAACAGCACAACTTACAAATACTGTGAACTGAAACAAAGATATGAGATGAGAGCCATCCACGGACAGGGCTTGGACATAACTGGAGAGGTCAGCCTAGGCCACTCCAATAGGAGCCATGCAACAAAAGAAATTTGCATAGCCTGTCAAGCGAGCAGAGGCATGACCTAACCAGTTCCTGGATGACTTCTCCCCCACTGAAGAGAAAGAACCTTCAGGTAGGTCCAATGTACCGTTTCAGTTCTTTACAAGGTAATGCTTTTCTATTATTTCAGTGTTGGGCAAGGTCTCCCTAGCTCTAAACAGCCCCCTTATAGGTTACGACAGTGTTACAGGACCAAGTGTTACATATTGACTGCATATAATAGATATATTACACTTTTATGAAGTCTCCTTTATGAATATGTTGCACATAGTTGTTTTTGCTAGTTTTTGGTCATTTTTTACTGTGTGCTGTACCTTTGTTGCTGATTACATCCAGACTGTTTAGAGACCCTGAGCGCATACTCTTGTTTGAGAAATGTAAAACATGTCTGATGGCAGGGATTCTTAAAAAAAGAAAGAAAAAGAAAAGACCATGGAGAATTGGTCCACCTTACTCCAGTACAGTGAGGCATGCTCAGGACCAAATAATGCCAGTATCTGCCCTCTAACATTGTATGATACTCCGTCTTGGTGAGAGCAGTCGGATTTTAAAGAGAACTTGATTCTAAGTAGCTCACTCCTTGCGAGTAAAGCTAATTTACTGCCTGTCAAATGTTTGAACTTCTTGAACCTCTTTTTTAAACGTGTTGTACGTTCTGCTCTCCCCCCACGACCGGCAGCCCCACGAAGGCCATCTCGGAGGCAGTGGGGAGAAGGGCTCGGAGGTTTTGTGCCTCCTGCTACTGCTTACAGGGGAAAGTGGATGGGTACAAGTGGGGATTGTATCCAGAGCAACCCCTTCCCTTTAGCTGTCACCCATCATTTGCCTAACAAGAGGGCATCTCCGCTGTATGCGGGGTCCTCCTCACCCTGGTGCCTGTGGGCACCGTGACACACGCTGACACTTTTCCTCTTCCTCAGCGTTTATTCTCCTTTCCCCCCCCCGCACCTCCACTCCCCCCCCCGTTTCTGTGGCTTTGCCTTCCGCAGCACCCATTTTGTGGTTGTCTCCCCTTCCTCTGGCAGCCATTTTGTGATTGCACTCAGCACCCTGCGTCACAGTTCGAAAGGTGCCCAGAGGCTCAAAGAGGTTGGCGACCCCTGAGCTAGATGGTGCAGGGGGCCACTGGGGAAGGATAACTCTTGCTCAAGACCGATGCTCCCTCTAAGCTGTGGAGTCCTGTGAGCAAAAAGTCTCCTTTGTGAGCTGCTGGCATTAAAGTTGTGAGTGAGTGGTTTGGCTGCTGCATAAGTCAGTTTGCTCTGGCGGCATCCTTCCTGAGCTGAGACAAAAATGTGTGAGCCGGAGGCTAAAAAACTGTGAGCTAGCTCACACTAACTCCGCTTAGAGGGAACACTGCTCAGGACCTTGGATGCGTGAGAAAGATTCCTACCTACCTACCATCCCCAATAACAGCAGATTACTGCATGAGTCCAGCCTGCTTGCATCACTCGCCTATCCCATAAACCTAGACAAGAGTGCGATCTTACGCATGTGTCCTTCATTCATTGCCTTTGAAACACTGTTCCAACACAAGCAAGAATTCAGAATCTTGAAGGGTGAATCTTGAAATGGAAGCCTGAGGGAAAATACTAATTTTGCCTTTAAAGCCTACCTCCGTTGCTTTCTCAACAATTTCCAAGCGTGATTTAGTCGTTCTTGATCATGAAAAACCATATAATTTGCATCTCTGGGCATGTAAAAGTTTAATTTTAAATATTTGTCTGGAATAGCGTGCATGAATGAAGAGAGCAACAACCAGAAGCAGCAGCAGCAACAACAGCAGCAGCAGCAGCAGCAGCCACAGCAGCATGTTACAAACTGGCCTGGAAAACAGGTCGAGACCCTGAGATTGTGGGAAGAAGCTGTCAAAGCAAGGAAAAAAGGTAAAAAAAAAACCTGTGGCCTTAGTATGTTGAAATGAAATGAGTGTCTTTTATGTACAGAGCAAGAAGTTTAAATCTATACTGGGTTTTAAATTGTATAATTATTTTTAACTATATGAATTATGTTTTACTGTTTGCAAGATTTCTTGCCTTGTTAGCCGCCCTGAGCCCTACGGGGGAGGGCGGGGTATAAATCTGATTAATAAATAAATAAATAAAAAGCAAATTTGCACTCCTGTAGCTGTGTGATGGCAGTTGCTACCAGTTTATGCGATAGCTGTCATTAACCACTCAGGTTCCTTAAACAGCTTGAGCTATAGTTTAGTTACAGGAACCAGGCTGAGAGGTGCTAGTCCTTTTACAGGTCAGCAAGTCACCTTTCAGTGTACTGCATTCTTACACAGCAAGCTGAAATTGACCTTCAGTTGGGTATGGAAACAGTTTATTGCTAAGCTCAGTGCTGACCTTTGCTTCTCCTTTTCTCTAAGTTATTGTGCATGGAGTTGCTTTGGATGCTCCTTGGCTTGATCAAGCTCCTGCTCACCAGTCTTGGTTTGTGTGGGATGAATTCAAAGTTACTAAGGTTCCAACAACTGGATTAAATTCTGAGTTAGCAGTTGATAACGTCAGGAAGTTTTGCTCTGGTTCCTCACTTTAGAGGAGGAAGGGGGGTAGGAGGAGCAAGAGGTGCACTCAAGCACAGCACTGATGCTGTGTTTATGCCAGCATGGAGTTTAACTGTAGGCTGATGTGATGTCTGAATTCAGCCCCAGGTCCCTTGGGACATATCAAATCAGCTTTAAGTCTGGTATCACCGTTGCAATTCCCAGGGGAGAACAGCATTCTTCTTGCCTTTAAGAAGTTGTGACAGATTTGTGTACAGCTGATGCTTTTGGTAGTGGTGGCGTGTCCTTAGTCTTGGATTTGCCTTCACAGTCTTGCCTTGGTTTTGAAGGCACCCGTCCTCCATGACTTTTTGACCTCATCCTATATACCACTGGTCTCTCCTCCCCTCACTTGTATGAACTTGGTTTGACATCTAAACTTAACACTGCCTGCTAATGGCTCTTACCAGGGTGACACCAGATGCTCTTGTTGTAGCCTGAAGCTGATTAGCTATGTTTCAAAGCTAGTCTTGAGAGTTGCATAAATATTTGTAAATCACGTGAAGTGAGTGCAACGGGTGTGTATAACCCAGGCAGCTAGCTATGTAACAGTTCTCATGGAGTCCAGCTCATTCTTTCCCTTTAGCATTTGGGCTTTCTTCTTCCAGATCAAATATTGCATAAATAGTACCAAGGGAGAGACCACTTAGCCCAACTTTCTTGAAGCAAAATTACTGTATAAGGAAACTGCAATTTTTGTATTGCAGTTTTCTTTGTAAATGCATCTGATTCAGTGAAAATTAGTGCCCGGTGTAAAGAAGGGTAACAGAAGTCTGTCTGATTCTTGCCATGGGAATGGAAGTAGAGGGCACTCTCACTCGTTTTGTGTTCCCCATTTTGACTTCATATATTTCTACCCTTTACATTTCCACCAGTATTGATGTATTTCATTAAAAACCTTTTAATAGAAGACTGACAGACAATCGTGTGCCCAGTTTTTGTAACGTGTTATTTCCCTTCAGTCTGGGGTTATGTGTTTGGCACAACAAAACAAAATCTAGAATTTGCAGTTAGAATGGTGTTCCTTTGCCATGATTCTGTTTTCAAAGCTATTATTTTCAGAGGCTTTTGGGGGGAGGGGAGGTGGAATAGGGACTGCATTAGGCCCACAGAGCTTCACCAGCCCTCGGTTGCATCCCCTCAGGTGCTATTTCCCCCTGCTTTTTTCGCTGTTGCTTGTGGTGGCTGCTAGCATTTAGGTCCCCAGCCACCTTGTTAAGAACCTACTCGCATGCATATGATGGTTTGGGGCAGCCTGTAGATAGGGGATGGCAGTTGTAGAGACAGTCAGGAGAGGTCTGTAGTGATAACAACACGGAATAGGAAAGGAGCTTGGTGGAAGCTAGACTTGGTGGCTCTTCTGGGTGAGAAACTGGAAAGAGAGACACCAAAGGTAAGCCTAGGTTTGAGCAGATATGGAAGGCCCCTGGAAAGTAGTAATTGCTTTCCCCCCTCAGCCTCTGAGCTGGGACAAGCTTCTGTGTATCTGCTGAGAATGTAGAAGGAAGGAACATCATGTTAACTGGAAGAATAAACAGAGCTTAAGAAAAAACAGTAGTGGGAAGAGAATGTAAAACAGTGGCTGGTTAAAATGAGCAGAAAGAGAGGACATGCTGCAGTTCTCGTGGATTCTAAAACACTTGTAGCAATCAGCAGCTTAACTGAGAATGAGGACCTGCTGAGAATGAGAACTGCTGTGGGAACACCCAGGTGCAGCAGAGAGTGGGCAAGGAATGAAAGGTCCTGGCACACCGAAAGTGGCTCCTTGGGATGCACAAAACGGGTGCAGGCCCTAGTCTGCTAGGAAGCTTGTAGTGAGTGCTGCCTTCTGCTCTCGCCCAGTTTTCCTTGCAACTGAAAATCGGGTTTTCAAAGAGAAATCTTTAAGCTGCAGTCGGCTGCTCCTTGTCCCTTGTGTTGCAGAATGCTACAGAACTGTTGGGAACAGTTTTCACGTGTTTGCCATGCATGTACAGTCAGTAACATAAGGAACCTTGGCACAGGCAGCTACTGTGCATAGCAACTGTCAGCTCTGAGGATGGCATGTGTGTTGAAGGGGCTTAGCATTGTTGGTGGAGCACATGATTTGCATGCAGGTGGTCCCGAGTCCATTCTCTGGCATTTCTAGTTGAAAGAGCCACCGCCAATCAGAGTAAATGCTGAAGTAGACTCTACCAATGCGGTAACTCCATAGAAATCATCTGATTTCTGCCCCACATTTTAGTAACACCAGTTCCCACTGGCTGAGAATGTTTGGGACTTGGTTTTGGCTTGAAAGTTTAAAACCAGAGTAGATGAATTTATTCTCGTGCACAAAAAAGCCCTGTTTGGTTTTTACAAAGAGAGAGTAGTGAAAACTATAGAAATACATCATGTAATGGCTTAATTGCAACACCTTTCCTCCACCTCCAATTTTGATTTCAGAAAGTCAACAGACTCTGAGGCCAACTTCGGTCAAGCAAGGTAGGGTCAGATATATTTCTATAGCTCGTATGGCAAGGCTGGACTCCCGGCTCATTTTGATTTGCCTCTTTGGAATATTTACATAGAGTTATATCCCACCATGGAACTAGATGGCAGATTCTACCTTGTGACAATAACAATTGCTTGTAATTTGAATTGCATTCTGGGGAGTTCCCGGGTGTTGGCTCTGTCATACTGGCTGTAGCTCCACCTGTCTCTTGCCCCTGCCTTACTGTGCAGTATTCTGTTAATGGCCCTCCTCCCTTCTTTAGGTTTTTTTTTTGAGGGGGAACCAGTGGAGTGATATTGACACAGCACAACCAGGTCTTTGCATGAAAAGCAGTTTGGCCTGCTGCCTGTTAAGGAATTCCAGACACATGGTTTGTTGGTGAAGCATGTGAATGGGCTACATACCTAAAGTGTGCCCAGAGTGAGACTTCAAGGGCTGCTGGTCTTTTCTTAAATGCCACAAATGAACTGTTCCTAGCAGTCCTTCATTTTTCTCCTACCTCTCTGTGACAGCAGTCTCATTCCTATTCTGTGGCTAACCAGCAGGTGGTGCTGAAATATCAGAGGTATCTACCTCTTCCATATGGCCTTTTTTTTTTAGTCTCCCCCCCCCCCCCCCCCCCCCTCGTCCCACGGTCTTCTTTTTGGATGCCCGTTGAACTCTTTCTCCAATGCCAGACACTAAAGGAAACGCTGGTGTGTGTCATCTTTCATTAACATGAAAATTGTGCAGCCAGTGGGGCTTAATACACAGATCTTATTGACTGAGGTGTTTTAAACTTACTAAAGCATTCCGCCAGTTTTGGTTTAAATTGATTTTCAAGACTGAAATAAGCAGGTAAATAGTGAAACCAGCTTTGCCTATCGGTCCCTAATAATGACTTTTTAAAACCTTCACAGAATGTCAGTACAACTTTGAGAAGGCTATAGAGTACGTACCATTCGGTATGTACACTCTCCTCTACTTATAATGTTCCTCATGAGAGGATTTCTTTCTGCTGATAATACTGTGCTGTTTTTATGAACAAGCCCCTTCTTACATCTTTTTAAAAAAAGCTTCCCCTTAGTTTCCCAGGAAAAGTCTTGAATTCAGATGAGTTGCATGATTTAATGTTACCGTAGGATCTAGAATTATAATATTTAGCAGCTGTATATCTGAGTAAATGCTGGTTTAGGGATACACAGAATGCATAGACTTGCCACGAGGAGGTCTCACTGCCATTGTGCTGAGAGTTGCCGGCAGTTAATTTGTCGGTCTGCAAGCCCTCTGTTGCCCGTTTGTTGAGCAGCTTTGATACGTTCCAAATGTTTTAACTGCTCAGATGTAAATTGTCGGGGTAGAGGGCCTGGATTTAGGATGGGCTGTGTGCTGTGGTGGGCAGGGACGCAGTGAGATGAGGAGGGTTGAATTTGGAACAGTGCAGGTGGGAGCCCATGCAAATGTGCAGTGCAGCTTATTCTAAGGCCTGCCCCTCCAGAACGTGTTGATGGCTCATGCTCTTTCCATGTGCATAACTCCTGTTTTGGTTGTGTGTGTTCTTTTTGTTTTTTAGAAGCTGCTAACTTATGCCAAACGTCCACGGCTGCCACAACGCCTGTGACTCTTTCTACTCCTTTCAATATTACCTCCTCAGTGGCGTCTGGGACTATCACCAACCCAGTCACAGTGGCTGCTGCAATGAACATGAGAAGCCCAGTCAATGTGTCGAGCGCGGTTAACATCTCCAGCCCGATGAGCTTAGGCCACCCAGTAACAATAACCAGTCCATTGTCTATGACCTCTCCGTTAACGCTCACCACACCTGTCAATTTACCGACTCCAGTAACTGCTCCGGTGAATATAGCACATCCAGTTACTATAACCTCGCCCATGAACCTCCCAACGCCAATGACGCTAGCCGGTCCGTTAAATATAGCGATGCGACCAGTGGAGAGCATGCCCTTCCTCCCGCAGGCGTTGCCAACTTCTCCACCCTGGTAAAACAAGCAAACACACAAACCCTTACAGCAGTATTAAAAAGAGGAATGAGAAGCAAGTCCTTACCAGCAACTTTTTGTGTTTCGGTTTTCGTTTTGTTTTTTAGTTAATGATAATGAAACCAGACTAATTCAGCTGGGGCAAAAAAGTGCGCCAGTTTAAAAAGACTTATTATAGCATCCTTGTTTTGTTGGTCGTTACTCTAACACTGGGCAATTTCATTTCCTTCCAGTTATCAGTTGGAGATGAAATACCGAGCAGGTGAGAGTTGAACCCGGTGCATAAGGGGAGGGGGATGCCGGGTTCCTGTTAGTACTTTGGAAACAGTAAGTGGAGAAATATTTTAACCTGAACACTAGAAGGCTGAAAATAAAGCCTTCCGCAAACACGCAGGGTGGGAGATGGCTCACCTAGATTTGCCAGCTCTGTATCCCTCCAATTCTAAAAGTAGCATTGTAGTGTTGTTTTTAAAAAAGTAAATGCATTACATGGTCCTATTTTTTTAATGCATTTCAAATAATTATGCATTTTACCTTTGGGAATACGATGACTTCAGGCCGAATTCCCTATGGGAAAAGTGATACCAGCTCTGATATGCAAAGCATATGGTAACTTAACATTCTAACTTCAACATGTAACAATGGAGATTGTGACCTGATATTTGGAGATGTAAATAACACTCACTATATTGCCCAAAGGGAATATAACAGCATAGTCAACATATTAAGAAAAAAAAACTGTTAAATGTTTGGCAAGGAACAGCTGTGAGTGATGGAAGAGGAGTCGAAATCCAGGTGAACACGGTCTCTGGTCAGAACCCACTTGGGACTCTTGGAAAGAGCCGACAGCAGGCTTTGAAACAAATGGGGGGAAATCGCGTTATGCTGGAAGACTTTGGAGACACCAGGGGTATGACGCGTGTATGCCCTGATTCTTTCAATCAGAACCTGCCGACATCGTGACGTGGAGCAGGTGTTGTTCACTAGAAGTTTTTTGTCTTATATTATAAAAATGGTATACAGTTTTTATTCTAACCACTAATTAGTTAGGATGCCCCTTCAGGACAAGCCAAGAGAGTGCATCTTATTGTTTGTGTTTCTTTCTCTTTTTTTAAACCCTTTCTTCCCTCTTAATCAAGTGTTGTGCAGATCTCCAACTTGTAAATATTTGCAAGAAACCATCATTTTTACTTTTTAGTTTTTGTTGTGTTAACACATAGCTATCAATGGAAGGGGTGGGCATGGGGGAGTTCCCACTGGCCTATCCAATGCAGGAGAGATTCCCCTCCCTACCCCCGTGAATGGTCACACTTTAAGAGACAAACAAAAACGACACAACTCTTATTCCTTTCAAATTTTTTATCTGTACATAAGGTAGGATGGGAAATCTAGGGAAGCAGTTAACTTTTTAGGCTATCATGTCAGTCACTTTTTTAAAAAAAAGTTTTTTTTTTTTAAAAGATCATACCCTATAACCAAGACTGAGTTAAGAACTAATTGGAAGGAGAAAGTGATCAGACCAAGGGTATGACAGTGCAGTGGTGGTCAGTATTTTGATTCTAGCAGGATATCGGTAAGCCTGAGAGGGTCAAAGTCCACTCTTTGTGTTTGTACCCATCGTGTCAATGTAAAAACACCGTCTTCTATACTTCTTGAGGCTAATGTCTGGAGTTGGGACGGGAGACGGCTGCCCAGGTCCTTATGTGGAAATGGTTCTAGGAGCTCAGATGACATAGTGAAACGGGGGAAATAATAGAGCTTAGTGTAAAATAATTTTATAAATGATCTTTTTGTACCTTAGGACATCAAATTGTACAACTTTTGTATATATAAAAGCTTAGGAGCTTTCTGTGTAGCAGAAAGAGAACACATTCCTACACTTTTAATGTATATGTTTGTTATAATGTCATGTAAACATATGCCCCATGTTTGTGCCTTTTAATTAGTTTGTCTGAATAAACAGAAATGTAGAGACCTTGTAGTGATACTTTTGTTACTCATAGTAATCATTGCTTTTTTAATGTGCAGAATTGTGTGGTTGGTGGGGGGAAACATTGCTGGGAGAAAAGCTTTTGACTGGGGGGGGGGGGGCCCAAGGGTTCATCAGTAACCATGCAGTACACAAGGCTCCTGGTTCTAGTTCCAGACTTTGTGTAGTAAACAAGCAGTAAGTAAGGCTAGGTGGAGCAGCCATCTGGAGATAAGGTAAAACCTTCTGTCTGAACCAATGTGAAAGCATCACAAAGTAGCAAGCAAGCTTTTGCATTCCCTAGTGCTGGTCTTTGGCCTAGATTTTCAGTGTGAAAAGGGAAGGATGTTTCAGGGCACAAAAAGAAGGCCCCAGTCAGCTTCGGTGCTATGATGGAACGTAAGAGATGTTATGCTGACATAACTAGGGGAGAGCATGTTAGATTCTTCAGAGTTTCTTGGGAGAGAGAGATATACTGGCTCTTGTCCCTTAGGAACATTAAAAGCCAGTCATTTGGGTTGGGTTCTAGTGCTCATTAAAACATGGGGTATCTTATAATGCTGAACTTTCAATGCAGTCCTGTGCATGTCTGCATTGGTTGTGGCATACTCCTAGATGAATGTACATTGGATTGCAGTGTGGGTTTCCATTTCTCCTAGTATAGAACAACAGCCAAGACTGGCTTTAGGCTGGATTGTGTATTACTGTTTGATTCTTCCCAGCCCTGGCCCTTTCACCCCCCTGTTCTTAGTTATGGCTTTTCCTCCTCCCCACTTAACCACCCTCAGCTACCTGAAGAGCTCTTGTTTCATTATATTACTCTGCTCTGGTTCTATTCTTCCCGCTACTGAAGGTTTTAAGCCCATCTGTGACTCTCACCTACGTTTCTCTGACCAGTACAATGGACACTGATCAGTTCTATATAAAGAGGGAGGTCCATTTGAAAAGGCCTTGGTTGCCATGGAGTGATATTTGGAGTGCTGTGATGCATTGATGGATGCAAGGGACTGAATGGGTTCCAGGGGTAGTGCACACATGTATGAGCCTGCTCTTGCAGAAAGCAGACATGGAGAGATCCAGCCATTTGATACTGTCCAAGTGAATTTGCTAGGTTTTCACCTGCACAACAGCTGAAGAAGTGTTTGAGCAAAGTCCCAAACACTTATTTGGAGGATTTTTACCCCATCTTTTTGTCATTTCAAGTGGTTTATTCGTACTACAATCAGGAAAGCAACAAAACCCACAAGGGTTTCAATGTATAGCGGACCCCCCACTCCGTATGTAGCAAAACGACTGTTAATAAAGGGGAGAAATGGCCTTATGAAGAAACTGCATACTCCAGAATGTTGAGAACTATTAAGAGTCCGGGGTGGGGGGGGGGGGGGTGTCCTCTAGCCCAGGAGAAGGTATAAAATCCTGGGAGAGGTTGGAGGGGGGCAGTTCTGAATTCCAAGCATTAAAAAAGGGACATTGTGATGCTGTGTGGTAAAATCCTGGGTGCCATTTTGGGATTGCCTAGCATCCGACATAAAGATCAACGCCAATAGTGGGAAGGGAGGAGGCAGCAGCAGGAGGGGGGGGGGAGGAAGAGGCCATGATGGGGGGGAGGGGTTAGAGAAAGGAGGGGGGGAGGTCATTTGGGATGGAGGGAATTTTTCTGCACTTTCCATTTGCCCACTTGTTATAAACCTAATTCTGAACTTGGGAGTGCAAATGAAAATGTTTCCAGCATGGGGCTAGGTTTTAGAAAGAGGAGGTGTTTGCAGAAAAATCTCACATCCCCCAAGGGACTTCCTAGATATGCAGGAAAAATTACATTGTTTTAAACACACACACACACACGCATTAAAGGGTCTCCACAAAACTACAGAGAAGGGACAGTCAGGATTACAGATTTGGTAGCTGACGACTGCAGCCAATGGCACAGGCCTATAATTGGCTTGGTGAGAGGTGTAGGGTGGGTTGCCAACCTCCAGGTGAGGCCTGGCATTCTCTGAGAAATGCAACTGACCTCTGGACTGCAGAGATCAGCTGGCCTGGAGGACATGGCAGCTTCAGAGGGGGGGGGCTGTATGCCATCACATCCCTGCTGAGCTTCCTCACCTCCCTAAACTCCGCCTTCCCCGGGTGCAACCCCCAAGTCTCCAGGAATTTTTCCAAGCCAGAGCTGGCAACTCCAGTGAAGGACTGCAGACAGTTTCACTGGCCAGCGTCTGAGATGGAGAGGGAAGTGTAGTCACAAAGCGACACGACACTGCCAGTTGTTGACAAGAAAGAATGGAAAACTGGAGAGACACAGCAAAATTGGGAGAGGGCAGCATTTTTTTAAATGACTCATGATGACCTCACTGTACACTCAGAGAAAGTGGGAAACAGAGGAAATAAGTCATTGGCAGTTAGAAAACCACAGAGAAAAAGCCTGGATTTGGAGCATCGCTTATTTTAAAGTTTTTAAAGGAACTGTAGGAATGGAATATGATGAGTAATTGAAGGGCATGAAACTGGGGGAGGAGTTGACTGTCCTGCCTGCGTTAAAGAAAAAAGAACTGCCATCCAGAAGATGCATAAAATGGGCTTCTGTGTGGTAAAAAGTATTTACATCCCATCCCTTTAGAAGGGCGACACCGAAAAGAAGCTCCCGGACAACATAAATCCGACCTGAAGCTCATTTTAAGTTCGCTTACTGGATACTAAAATTATTCCAGACAAGATTGACATAAAAGTGTGTGGAAATGTGCCTACGTTGAAGAAAACTTCACAAAAGTTTCTAAAACAAGTTTTAAAAGATACCTGAAAGTATATTGCCAGAGCAAAAAATACCTACAGCAGTACAGAAGACTCATACAGTACAGTGGAGACAGAAGGAAGCACTGGTAAGAGAACCTTCAGGCAAAGTATGAGAAGGGCTGTTTTCATAACCCCCAGGAAGACGGAAACAGAGCAAGGGCAGCTATGAGCAAGGCACAATGAGGCATCCATAACTGCTCAAAAATGTGTTTACTGTGGAGAAAATAAAACTGCTTTGGGAGGGATGTTTTTGTAAGCATTGAAGGAAAAATTGAAACGGCATTGTTTTTCTGACAATGAAGGAAGATGGTCCATGGCACAAAATATCTGGATGGATGGAGGTAACTTATACCTCAGTGGTACTCAGTGACTCGGGAGCCATCTTCTGAGCTCTGCTCCCCAATGGGGCCCCTGCCCCTCCCTCAGGACAGCCAGCGGTCAAGGCTCTTGTCTGGCTGGTCTGGTGGTTGCCTTGAAAGAGCTGCTGCCAGGGGAACGGCTCAGCTGCACGCCTCCTTGAGGTAGAAGCCTCATGCCAAGGAGGGAAGGAAATGAGGCTCTTTCGGTTTACGGTCTGGCTTTCCACAAGCCACAGAGTGGGTGCCATTGTTGTAGGTAGCTTATATCCTGATGTGACGGCAGAATTCTTTAAGAAGGAAGGCAAGTGCCAGAATGGAAGAAGTGCAATTTTAAGAAAGAAAAACCCTGGAAACAAAGAAGTCAGATGTATTATGGAAGACAGGAAGAAATCGAAGTTTGTTTAACTGAGCAAAATAAAAATATGGGAAAAAGCAGAGTGGGTCGATGCGTGTATCAATATTGCTCAGTCAAACATTTCAGGTGTGAGGAAAGGGGGGGTCATTACCTCGTACCCTGTCACAACGGAGACATCATTACTGGAAAACATCTTCACAGGGTCTTTTAACAGGCGAGCATCCTCGTATCTACTTTACTACAGAACAGCCAGCAGTAGAACAGCCCTTTTGCATCTGTGGATGTCGAATAAAAGTTTTCATCTGGACTTTAGACATATGGGGGTGGTTCCTGCTAGCTTTCCCAGCTTTCCCCAATCCTCCTCCTTACTACAGCTGACGTCCCATGCGGCTTGTGTCCATGCCAGTCCTATGATCTCTATTTTGGGTGGGCAAAGTAATCCAGGCTAAATTTTCCACTAACGAAAGGGGAGGTGTAATTTCTTCCAGTTCCCCATTCTTGCTGCAGACCTCATATTTGCCCCAACACCATTCCTGAGGGTCCCTTGCATTGGATGTGAAGGACTTTGCACTGTCTCTTAGACTTCAGAAGGGGACCACAGAGAGTTAGAGAGATACAGGCTAGGAGGACCCTGATAATCCTTTCCTTCTACTGCTCTGATACCATCCCTTTGATATGTAGATTGCAGCTCTCAGGGAATCTTCCTTCTGGCTTGACACCTTCTCTCCACGTTATGCTAGTCTTTCTCCATCTTGGCACCATGAGGACAAGACATGCTTCCTGCATCTCTATCCATCCTAGCTAGTTAGACTAGATTAGACCCTTATGTCTATCCTGTCTAGAATGGAGTAAATAATAAAGGACTCATATTGGTTCTGCAAAGATAAAGAGGCTCCATGTGTAACTTTGTTTCTTGGCAGCACACACAAACCAGATAGACTCTGCTGCTACCCCAAATAATCATTCACCTTATTCCTCTAAAGCACCACCCTGAGGAGATCATTGGGCTGGAGTGGGATGAGATGGGCAGGAAAGTTCTATTCCATGCTGGAAGTGCTGTCCGTTAGTGGAAAAGGTAGTCAGATTGAACCCATTGTTTTCAAATGCAGGGAAAATTTAGAATAACAACCCTATATCAGGAGAACACTTTGTGCAATCTTAATGTGTAAAACAGAAAATTGTCCATTTAATTTATTGTTTGGGGAGACAGAGCAAAATAAACAGTGAAGTCTTTTATTGGAGCAATATGTTAATAATTCTGCCATCTCTCTCCCTGGCCACCAAAAGGCAGTTTGAATGAAAATGTTTTATCTTGTATTTGGAAAATGTACAAATTCAGACTTTGGAAAATCTACAAAGCGAGATAATCTACAATGCTGATGGGCAGCCATCATTCATCCTGTTATGTGCATTAGCAGCCCTGATCTTAAAAACAGATGGGATACTTCACAGTGTGTTTT